CAAACCACCCCAATGTAGGCAAATATGGCATACATGGAGCGTCTGGGAAACATCATTCGATCAGCCGGACCAAAGACTATCGAAGACTATCGACCAATTGGCTCAAACGAAGGGCATGCGGTCATGTGGTGTGTGTGAGCCGTTCGATCAACCTCCTCACGCACAGAACCAACATAGAAAACCTTGAGACCGCTCAGGTGCGGTGCGGCGGCGTTTCGCCATCGGAATTGGACATCGTGTTCAGACCCGCTCAGGTGAATCTGACGTTGACTCCTTGGAAGTTCCGGTTGCAAGCAGTTCAACTTCGAGCGTTGCAAGAATGGGACACTTGACGCACACTAAATCAGAGAGATGGAGTGAGATGGAGTGTGTCACAGGAGAGTCTTTCGGTGTGTTCCTCCCCCCCCAAAAAGGGGGCACCGTCTAAAATTGAAAAGGAGACACAGAACACCAGTTACAAGAAGCGAGACTGCCACCGAGAAGGGCAAGACTGCCAGCTCTTTGCTAGATCCTGTTCTTTGTTTCTCCTGCTCGTGCTCGAGCACCCAACGACTGTCCCCCTAGAATCCGCCTTTCCACCGGGCGATGACCCAAAAACAACACGTCAGACCAGTGTTTCACCTCTCTCGTCCCAGGGCAAACCAGGCGTTTGGGTCAATATTGATCTCATATTTACAATATGGTTGGATTTGTCCCATTGCCCGTAGCAGTCCGTAATTCAAGATTAGTATAGAGAAAGGCCTTTACTAACAATCATCATCCACTGTTTCTGCTCATGAGATATACCCAAAATATGTTGCGTATATGCCCTGGAAGAGAGCCACAGAACATGGTCTTCCAAAGGTCCATGCCATCAAGTTCCATGTGGGTCTCTTCCGGAGTGTATATGGATGCACTATAAACATTATAGTAGTCTTCTCTGGGGCCGGTGATGGACCCGGAACATGGGTGTTGCTGTTTGGGCTGCAGCACCTCTCCCTTAACACAGTGTTCTTTAACGGCATGTGCGGCACAGCTTAGACAAACAAAACTCTAATCTGCCAACGAACAAACATCTTGGAAAGGCACCGAGCCTCGCCGATGTAATGCAGAAGCAATCTGGTCGGCCCAAAGCCGAGGCGTCATTCTTCCCACTCTTGCCAACCTGGAAAGTGATGCATGAAGCCTTTTGACTGTCTACTTGAGTGGGGATGTCGCTCCGTTTGTCCTTCCGGATCCACCGGAAGGACCGGTCTCGCCACGAGCGCGAGACGCTCGGTTCACTTTCGGCTCCGCCGAGGCCGGCCGAGTGAAGTTTGCAGAGGAGGCGGGGTGATGTCAACGAGGCAAAAGGCCAAAGGCGAAGGGTGTGTGTGTGTGTGTGTGTCACCCTTGGAGTCATAGGGATGCTTTGGAGTCATAGGTTGGTGTCCACACCTGTGCCTAAGGTTAAACATCTACAAGTCCATCGACAAAGGCCACCTTTCGGCTCGAAGTTCTTTCCGTGAAAAGTCTAAGTGTGTGTGTGTGTGTGTGTGTGTGTCAGCCCCTGTATCCAAGGATGTTGCACCACCTAATTCCCGGGCTAATGGACTTAGCAGCTTAGCATCAAGTGTGTGTGAAGAAATTTGAAGATATGTATAGATGTGTGGTGTCCTAAAGTGGGGTCCTAAAGCTGAAGATCTCATGAAGCATTGAATCACACGTCGATGAGTTGATTTGGTAAGTCACAGTTGTAGTAGATCCACTGCGTATAGTCCCTTCCCACTCTAGGTTTAGTGCTGTTCATTTCTTGAAGTTCCCAACCGGTAGTTTGTGTCGAAAACTTCTTCATGTCCAATCTCATGAAAGATACAAAACCCATCAAAACCCTAGAATTTCACTTCCATGATACAAGCACTTGTGTTAAGTCGTTTGGTCTTGTGACTTTCTGCAAACCCGGGTGACTATGGTGCCCAGCGCTAGTATGGTTGCCCCACCAAAAGTAAAGGAATTTTCCAGACCCTGAGGTCACAGTCCAACCCTTTCAGTCGACCGGACTCTCTCACAGCATGCCGCTGCTCCTGGACTCCGTCTCTCAGGTCAGAAATTGGCGGGTTCAAAATGACGAGCGAATGACACCCCGGCAGGTCAAGGTATCCTGGTGCCATGACCCATCCCCGAAGCCAAAAACGCGTGGCACGATGTCCAGCGCCTGCTGGCAGGCGCTGTCCTGCGGCCTGTGCCGAACCTGTCCACCCACCCTGCTTCATATAGGAAACCGGAGCATCATTGGAATCATGGGCAACGATTGACCCATAATTCAATATTGCTTTCTGAAAAAAACAACATGTGCCCTTTTTTGTTCCACTAGCTAGCAGTACCTGCAGCATCCTAAAGCTAAAAAAGGTCAAGGGTTCTTTCCGGAGGGTCGAATACCACCGAACCTGAGGATATGGGCCAGAAGCCCTCGGCCAAAACACTGAAGACAATGGCTCGTTTATGAAGCGCCAGCGCCTCCTGCCACCGGCCGCAGGCCGAGCGGTCAGGACGCCCAACGCCGTTGCCGCGGGGCACGGCCACGGAGGTGGGTCCCGGGATACGGCGATGACGGTAGAGGAGCCACGGTGTGGAGATGAGCCACGTAGCTATGGACGGGGGTTACTCAGGTTACTAAGGGTTCTGTGGCGGCTTCGGATGCTGAAATCGCTAGTTCAAGGGGTTCATGTTCTGCAAAGTCAAGGGGTTATGATGATTTGGGGAGTTGAGTTCATCTTGAGTTCCATTCTATCACTTGGTTGTTTCTCTTCTCTTTGAGCGGAACTTCACTGCCACAATCAATGACGGAATCCCAAACCTCAGAATTGCGAATCTACTCTTGACAAATTGGTTTTTGCTGTATAGTATCAGCGAAACAGGGAATCACATGCTTAAGGCGTGCGAAACAAAGGAGCTGTCGATTTGAGGGTCACAAATTTGGAGATCCACACAAAAATTAAGGAATCACTACAAATACAATACAATGCAATGTGTATTGTATTGTATAGTGTGCCCTAGGGCTCCAAGTACCTGCTGAGAAGGTGGGACTGGGGTGGGTGCCAGGGTCCAGTCATACCTTCTGAGAAGGCACTTGGAGCCCTAGGGGTGTATGAAAATACCGTGCAGCACTCCATGGGACTGCTGATCAGGACTGCCGATGATCACGCCACGGGTGGTGGTTTGGGGGTCGACCTCTGGGGCGGCAGTCCTGGCTAGCAATCCCAGACAGGTCGTGTTTGGATCTATTATTGGGCGATATTTGTTTGTCATAAACCCAAGATGGAATTGGTATATCATTCCCATACACTCCATGGGACTGCCGATCAGGACTGCCAATCAATTGACCCTCCCACCCCAATGGATGTAGGGCAGTCCCAGACGTGTCGCGTCAAGTATGCTTACCCATACACTCCATGTATGCCATATATGCCTACATTGACCCCCCGAACCACCCCAATGTAGGCAAATATGGCATACATGGAGCGTCTGGGATATATCTGTCGGACGGTGAGTCCGCAAGACACGAGCCCCGCCCCAGGCTGCTGCGGTGCCGTCGCTCGCGCGCGCCGGACGGGTGCGCTTGGGCGTGTCGCTCCGCGCTACGGGGCGGCTGGAGCTGGCCGTGGCCTGCCAGGCGAGGGGGCGCTGGAATGGTCCAGGGCAGGAACGGTTTGAAGCCACTGGTGCTTTACAAAAAGATACAAAAAGT